CTGGTGCGCCCGGAGTGCGCACCTTTAGGGGGGGGTACTGTGACACTCTGGCTCCATGGACTTTATTATTGAGCCAGGGTTGTTCATTTTCCTTGGTTGGGTGTATTTCTATGTTGGGTATTCTGGTTGTTTCATTTCTATGTGTGGTGATTGTTAGTGTTTATTCAGGTGACTCCCAATCGGAGGTAACGAGTGACAGCTGTCGGCTCGTTATCTCTGATTGGGAGCCATATTTATACTGTGGGGTTTCACCTTGGTTTTGTGGGTTTTTGTTTCCTTGATCCTGTTTTGTCAGTGTCAGATTTGGACTTCACTTTCGTCATTTTGGTTTGTTGTTTTGATCGTGGTATCTTTAATTAAATAAAGTCTACGATGTTCGCTCAACACGCTGCGCCTTGGTCAATTCCTTACGACGATCGTGACACAGGCCTCTCTCATCTTTTTAAGTGGGAGAACTTGCACAATTGGTGGCTGACTAAATACTTTTTTTTCCCCACTGTATATACCGTTCAAAAGTTTGGGGTCACTTAGAAATGTCCATGAAAACATACATGAGTTTGAATAGGAAATATAGCAAAATGCATAAGAAATGTAGTCATTGACAAGGTTAGAAATAATGATTTTTAATGGAAATAATAATTGTGTCCTTCAAACTTTGCTTTCATCAAAGAATCCTCAATTTGCAGCAATTACAGCCTTGCAGACCTTTGGCATTCTAGTTGTCAATTTGTTGAGTTAATCTGAAGAGATTTCACCCCTTGCTTCCTGAAGCAGCTCAATAGGGTTGATATCCGGTGACTGTGCTGGCCACTCCATTATAGACAGAATACCAGCTGACTGCTTATTCCCTAAATAGTTATTGCATAGTTTGGAGCTGTGCTTTGGGTCATTGTCCTGTTGTAGGAGGAAATTAGTGCCAATCAAGCGCTGTCCACAGGGTAAGGCATGGCGTTGCAAAATGGAGTGATAGCCTTCCTTCTTCAAGATCGCTTTTACCCTGTACAAATCTCCCACTTTACCACCACCAAAGCACCCCCAGACCATCACATTGCCTCCACCATGCTTGACAGATGGCATCAAGCACTCCTCCAGCATCTTTTAATTTGGTCTGCGTCTCACAAATGTTATTTTTTGTGATCCGAACACCTCAAACTTCGATTCGTCTGTCCATAACACTTTTTCCCAATCTTCCTCTGTCCAGTGTCTGTGTTCTATTGCCCATCTTAATATTTTCTTTTTATTGGCCAGTCTGAGATATGGCTTTTTCTTTGCAACTCTGCCTAGAAGGTCAGCATCCCGGAGTCGCCGCTGGGCAACACGGACTTTCAACTCCCTCCAAAGATTTTCTATGGGGTTGAGATCTGGAGACTGGCTAGGCCATTCCAGGACCTTGAAATGCTTCTTACGAAGCCACTCCTTCGTTGCCCGGGCGGTGTGTTTGGGATCATTGTCATGCTGAAAGACCCAGCCACGTTTCATCTTCAATGCCCTTGTTGATGGAAGGAGGTTTTCACTCAAAATCTCACGATACATGGCCCCATTCATTCTTTCCTTTACACGGATCAGTCGTCCTGGTCCCTTTGCAGAAAAACAGCCCCAAAGCATGATGTTTCCACCCCCATGCTTCACAGTAGGTATGGTGTTCTTTGGATGCAACTCAGCATTCTTTGTCCTCCAAACACGACGAGTTGAGTTTTTACTAAAAAGTTCTATTTTGGTTTCATCTGACCATATGACATTCTCCCAATCCTCTTCTGGATCATCCAAATGCACTCTAGCAAACTTCAGACGGGCCTGGACATGTACTGGCTTAAGCAGGGGGACACGTCTGGCGCAGCAGGATTTGAGTCCCTGGCGGCGTAGTGTGTTACTGATGGTAGGCTTTGTTACTTTGGTCCCAGCTCTCTGCAGGTCATTCACTAGGTCCCCCCGTGTGGTTCTGGGATTTTTGCTCACCGTTCTTGTGATCATTTTGACCCCACGGGGTGAGATCTTGCGTGGAGCCCCAGATCGAGGGAGATTATCAGTGGTCCTGTATGTCTTCCATTTCCTAATAATTGCTCCCACAGTTGATTTCTTAAAACCAAGCTGCTTACCTATTGCAGATTCAGTCTTCCCAGCCTGGTGCAGGTCTACAATTTTGTTTCTGGTGTCCTTTGACAGCTCTTTGGTCTTGGCCATAGTGGAGTTTGGAGTGTGACTGTTTGAGGTTGTGGACAGGTGTCTTTTATACTGATAACAAGTTCAAACAGGTGCCATTAATACAGGTAACGAGTGGAGGACAGAGGAGCCTCTTAAACAAGAAGTTACAGGTCTGTGAGAGCCAGAAATCTTGCTTGTTTGTAGGTGACCAAATACTTATTTTCCACCATAATTTGCAAATAAATTCATAAAAAATCCTACAATGTGATTTTCTCAATTTTTTTTCTAAATTTGTCTGTCATAGTTGACGTGTACCTATGATGAAAATTACAGGCCTCTCTCATCTTTTTAAGTGGGAGAACTTGCACAATTGGTGGCTGACTAAATACTTTTTTTCCCCCACTGTATGTTAACATTGTTAATATTGCTTCTTTAATCAGCACAACCGTTTTCAGCTGTGTTAACATAATTGCAAAAGGGTTTTCTAATGATCAATTAGCCTTTTAAAATGATCAACTTGGATTAGCAAACACAACGTGACATTGGAACACAGGACTGATGGTTGCTGATAATGGGCCTCTGTACGCCTATGTAGATATTCCATTAAAAATCAGCAGTTTCCAGCTACAACATCCATTTACAACATTAACAATGTCTACACTGTATTTCTGATCAATTTTATGTTAATTTAATGGACAAAATAATTGCTTTCTTTCGAAAACAATGACATTTCTAAGTGACCCCAAACTTTTGAACGGTAGTGTATATATATATATACTGTCAGACAATGTTCATATATCATGACTATCAATGATGTCAAGAAGTTTGTATGAATCTCCTGTTTGGCATGTCGCTTGATGTAATGACAGGACAACTGCATCTGAGTTTTGGGCAACCATTCCTCCACTTTTATTCCATGCTGGCTAAAGCCCTAACTAGCCAGTTACTAGCTAACACCAGACACAGATGAAAGCAGAAACCTACAAGTATCTTTGCCTTAGATGAATAAGGGAAACCTCTAAATATATTTTCTGACACGCTGCAGACTAGCTACCTAGCTATGTAAACCACGCCCCTAAGCGAACACAATTTATGCGATGTTGGTTACAAGCCGGTACTTATTTAAATTAGGTAAGAGAATAAGATATTACCATTGGTGTATTAAAACGCCTCCATCTCGCCTTATGCATCCAAGTGTTTGACGTGGTGGAGGGGACCAGTAACTCTTTGATCAAACTTGATCAACAGAGAACCAACAGTCATTTTTCATACTTTGGTAATCATACTTCAGTAGTCCTTCTTTGATCTGGTTTCATCAAAAGCTCATCAATTTCATGAAAACCCATGATTCTGATTATGTTGGGGACCTTTCAGTTTGAATACCAACTCTCCGACTCTGACTCTCTCGGGAAAATAACACTTCTATCTCCATAGAAACATGTCATTTGTTGCCATAGTTTCAACATTGTTAAGAGCATTTACCTACCAGGGAACAGAGAGGTGAAGATTGTCTTTGATTCGCGTTCCTTCGACATCAACAATGACAAATTTGATCAAAACAATGAGGAAGGTGGAAAATCAAGTCTGAGGCTACATCCCAAATGGCTCTATAGTGCGCTACTTTAGACCAGAGACTAATGGGCCCTAGTCAAATAAAGTGCACTATAGAGGGAATAGGGTGCAATTTGGGAAACAGCATGACATATACCAACATGAAAGGGTAATGTATTTTATTCAACCTGTATTCAAACGGCTAGACCGGCCTTTGTATGAGTCTCAATAGGTATCATTGAAAAGGCAGGTTAGTTCAGCGTCTGTGAGTCAATGTATTGATGTGTCTATGATACTTGGCCCTGAGCTCTGTGTGTGTGTGATTGTGTCTGTCTGTGTGTGTGTGTGTATCTGTGTGTGTGTGTGTGTGTGTGTGTGTGTGTGTGTGTGTGTGTGTGTGTGTGTGTGTGTGTGTGTGTGCGTGCGCACACGTGTGTTGACGTGTCTTTTTCCTGGCCCTGAGAGCTCATTATACTAAACTGCAAAAACCGAAAGAAAAGGTCCAGGTATAGAGATAGCAGGTATATACCCTCACAGTTAATGTGTCTAGGTCCAGGTATTAGACGTACAACAGAGATAGCAGGTAAATACCCTCACAGTTAGTGTCTAGGTCCAGGTATTAGACGTACAACAGAGATAGCAGGTAAATACCCTCACAGTTGTGTCTAGGTCCAAGGTATTAGACGTATGGTAGAGATAAGCAGGATATATACCCGCACAGTTAGTTGTCTAGGGGTCCAGGTATTAGACGTACAACCAGAGATAGCAGGTAAATACCCTCACAGTTAGTGTCAACTAGGTCCCAGGTATTAGCGTACAACAGAGATAGCTAGGTAAATACCCTCACAGTTAGTGTCCTAGGTCCAGGTATTAAGACATAAGGTAAGAGGATAGCAGTAAATACCCTCACATTTAGTGTCTAGGGTCAGGTATTAGACTTATATTAGAGAAGCAGGAAACCCGTTAGTGCAGTCCATTATTAACGTATGGTAGAGATAGGCAGGTAAATACCC